AGTGGTCCCACTCTGCAACAACTTGCCCCAGATTTGACCCATTCTAAGGTCTCTATTTCTTTTCAAACACATATCTTGTTCCCCAAGGGAGTGCTTTTCAGTGGGATCTCCCATAACCAAATTGGGTTGAGGCTTTCCTTTTTCATTCACATTTTTAAAATTCTTTCATCCTTCATCTCTTCCTCTCTCCTGGAGCCCCCCTTTTTTTGCTGCGAGACTACCGGTGTTACCTACCATTCATTGTTCACCTATAGACTTGCTTAGGGTACATCATGTATTTTCCTTAACAAAAATCTCCTTTGTCTCACTTTCTGACTCCTACCCCATGAATGAGTGAATTAAAGCTTGACATTCTCCAGTGTTAATTCTTAAGGCTGTAACCTTATTGTGCTTGTTTAGCTTTACCAAAAAATATAACTCACAGCACTCCCTTCGTCTGCTATTTTAGTAATCCTGTCAAAAAGGGAAATATAATCTGGTATGACCTGTTCTTCATGAAATCATGCTGGCTCTTTGTAATTTCTCCTTCCCTTTAGAGATGATTGTCAATCATTTCTTTAATAATCTATTGTAAATTTTTTTCTTGAGGAATCAGAGTCAAGGTCTCTGGCTTAGAGTTTCAGTCTGTTCCCTTCTCTTTTTTGAAAATCAAGACAAAATTTGTTCTCCAATCTCATGGTATGTATTCTGCTTTTTATGATCTTTCAAATTTCATTGACCATTAGTTCAGCAATAAAAGTTATTAGTGGTTTTTGGACCCCAAAGATAGACTTCATCTGACCAGTTGACTAGAATTTATCAGCAGCAGCTAGGTGTTCTCTTTCTCTCACATGCTTACATGGGTGTTGACTCCCTGTTAGTTATTTTTGTTCAGTTATTCACAATGTAAAAGTCATTCTTTTGCAGAGAAAACAAACAAAAAAAAAGAGTTGAGAATCTCTGCTTTACACTTTTGTCAGTTATCATCCAATTTACCTGAAGCAAATGTCTTACACCTTCTTTGGCCCTTCTTTTTGTCTCAACATAGCCAAATATGCCTCTTTTGTTGTCTTTAGCTTCCCTTACCAACTTTGACTAACTCAGAGCTTTAGCACTCCTGACACTTTTTATAGGACTGTGCCATGTTCCTATATTTTCTCATATCACCAGGCCTTTATCCTGTTTTAAAAAATCCATTTAAAAATAATTTTAAACATCCTCTACCTCTGAGATCCCCTTCTCTTTTTGGTTAGTTCTTCCTGGAACATCCATTTTGAGAACAGGCCCAAACTATGCCTTACTCTCTAAACTTTGCCATCATGCCTCATCTGCTTTCTCCTCACCCCCCCTCCTTCTTCTACCATTTGTGAGGTTTTTTCTGCAGCTTCCATCGTGTAGAAGGGCCTAGACCAGCCATCTTTCATTCTCCAGACTTTGCCATGATACCCCCATGTGGATACATTTTTTCCTCCCTCACTTTAGCTTTCTTTAATGTGTTGTCTTCCCCCATCAGAAAGTAAACTTTGCCTTATGTTTGTATCCACAGCACTTAGCATAGTACCTGGCACATAATTAGCATTTAATCAATGTTCGTTGATGTGACTTTAAATCAAATTTGGGTGGTGAGTTCTTTGTTCATCCTCATTGGCCTTTTCAGACCAATCTCAGTTTTCCTCCTTACTGGAACTGTTTCCCTTTAAATCTTCAGAATTTATTTTTACATGTTTCCTATTCCTCCTGGCCTGACTTCCCCTAAAACATTTTTTGTCTATGTGCTCCTACCTGTTTATCCTCAGATTTTGAAATCTGCTTTCTCAAAATCTAGAGTGCATGTCAGATGATGCCTGGAATTTTTCTCCTTTCCCACAAACTCTTAAGATGGAGTGGTCTTTTCCCTATAAGCTTCCCATCATTCCTACCCCAGAAACATTTTCTTTGTTAGTGAGCATCAAAACCTGGATAGAATTTCTCATTGTTGGTTACTCCACATTTTAATGGATGGAATTATCACAAAGGCAAATAAAATAAGTTATGGAATAATTGAAGCTGCCCATCAATATTATATAATGCCTCTCTTGTGCTGGGCTTGTAATTTGTTCTCCCAACTTCTTACCTATTTCTTCTTTCTATCCAGGTGGCCTGTGGCATAACTCCAATGAAAAAATCACTTGTGTTTTTCTTCTTGGACCTAAAACCAAATATTCTCTATTATGCTTCCCTTCTCTGGATTTCCTCATATTAGTATACCTTCTTAATATTCCTATCCTTTTTCTTTTGAACAAAGTATGCCTGTCCAGATCCACAGTTCAGTCATGTGTTTCAACTGATAATAAATTTTATTCTTTGATTTCCTTTTATTAATTTTTATTATGAAGGGGGCAAATCAGGGCCATTTCTGTTGGTTAGGAGATTACTGAGTTGGTTGAAACCTGTTCTATGGGATGTGAAAATTTACTTAAGACCTTAGACATTCCTCAAATAAGAAGTCAGAGGAAGTATCCCAATTGTTTCTGACTCTTTGGGTATCTTGGTGACATGTAAATCTTCCCTTTCAATCAGTCCGTTGTGAACCCTCTAAATGTAGTTTAATCTGTAACCTGACTTAGTTTACCTATAAAGTCTGTTTAATTAGGTTTGTTTCCTTAAGGAGTGTATGAGATTATGATTCTGTTTGACTAAATTTGTTCAACTTTTATTAAATAAAAAAGCATGGAATTAGGAATCTACCTATTATAACTTTTATAGTCTAAAAGAATGTATAAGACTGTAATATGTAAAATAATTTTTTTCTTTTTACTTTGACATAATTTTCTCTATGAAAGCTTTTCAGAAACTCCAATCAAAGCTCAGGGTTATTTTTTTCCTAACTCCTGAACCTGTACTTAAGCACGATAAAACCTAGGATTTTAATCTCCTTTGTGGTAGATTTATTTTAGCAGCAGTAACTTGCCACATGAACTAAAAAAAGGATATTTCTCCCATAAAACAACCCACTAATCTCAAAGATACACATTGTCTTCTTCTGTTAAGACTACTAGTTCTTTCTGTTTGTTGCCTACACTTTGGGCTTTTGTGTATAGACATTTGAAGCCCTGAGTTTTTTCTACTTGCCTCATTCTTGGATCCTGTATCCTGTAAGATAGATTTCTCAGCTGTCATTCTTCATCCTTCTTTATGGCTGCTCTCTATAGTATCTAATTTAGGGGATATACATAAGCAGTTTTCTATCTCCCTCATCCTTTAAAGCCTATTTGATTTAGATTTGTAAGACACCTGGCAAATAAATTCTTAACAGTCTTGTTAGACATGGTATATCTCTGGCTAGGAATATATCATTTTAGGTTGTGACCTAGAAATCCAAATTCTATTGATTATATTAGCACAACAAATGTTAGTACAATCAGTCTCTGGGAGTAGGAAGGAAGAAACTGTAGGCATTATCTTTAAGGAAGACACAAGTTTCTCCTATGATGGGGTTGCCTACAGTAGAAGTGCTGCAGGCTGAGTGCTGCCTGAACCAGATTAAAACATAATTGGGAAATATTTGACAAAATAAATAAAAACAAAATAAAACATACATAATATTACATTTTAAAACTAAAACAATATGTATGCACAGGGATTCTTGGTATGGATTAGTGGCCCAAATTATATTTGAATTTGATAGTACTGGCCTATAGAACATAAAAGATTGGGAAAGGATGGCTTTAATTGCTTATATTTACATTTAGTCTAGTCCTCATTACTCTGACGTGAAATAAGACAGTGCCATCATGGTGGATTTAGATTTCAGGTGCCATTTTTCCCTATCAGTAAAGATTCCCATACTAAAACACTTCTCTTCTCATTTCTACCCTGCTACCTGAAAGGGTAATCAGTAAGGTTTGTCCCACTTATATTTCTTGGGTATGGTGTGTCTGAAACTCTGCTGATCATTTAGTTACCCAGATGTTCTGTAATACAGAAAAATGGAAAAATGGTCTTTTATGTTCCAATCTACCCTTAGGTGTCCCCCTCCACTTCCTATCTTGCATCCTTGTGTCACCTTTCTGTGACCATCTTCTTATTGTCAGAAGATCTGCAAATAAAAGAAGGAACACAGTAATAAAAGCAAAGACTTTGGAAGGAATCCTCACCAAAAACAGAAGAACAGGATAGGTACAAGTGAAGCTAAAGGGTAAACACTTCTCAATCAGTTTTTAAAAAGCTGGGATAAGAGATTAGAGGTTGAGGGCAAGTATGTTCACCAGGCTAGCCATTTTCAGTAGATGGACAGTGAAGAGGGTAATGTTTTATGTTATAGGTCAGTATAGGAAATAGGGTTTATGTCTCTCATGAAGATGAAAACACAGATGGCTATGGGTGTGTGGTTTGGACTTCTGAGGTTCACTAGGTCGAGATTCCTTGCTTGGGGATGTGGCTATTTTCTAACCCTCCCTCCTCATCTCTGCCTCCTGACTCTATTCAAGTCCCAGCTAAAATCCTACTTCTACAATAAGTCTTTCTTGATCTCCCTTAATGCTGGTACCTTCACCCTGCTGATTATCTTCAAGTTATCCTATATAAATCCTATTTGTACATAGTTGTTTCCATCTAGTGTCCCTCATTTGAACATGAGCTCTTTGAAAGTTGAGACTGTCTTTTAGTTTTCTTTGTATGCCCAGAACTTAGCACAATGCCTGACATAGAGCAGGTATTTAATACATGTTTATTGACTTACTGAAGCTGAGAGAGATTAGGCAACTTGCTGAGAATCACAACTCTCATAAGTGTCTGAGACAATATTAGTCCTATATCCCTAAATAGGGCCAGGAAGAGTCAGACATGACTGACATTGCTTCAACAACAATCGAAAAATATTTAAAAAATAAATGTTATAAGCTTTATAAGGAAAATATGTCATTAAATCATATTTAAGAAATGTATGTAATCACTTAAATTACTATGATTTTATTCATGCATTTTTCTTCTTTAAAAAATTTCAGTGCTCGCCATTTACATTTTATTTTTTCCTTCTTCAGTATTTGGGATGCTTAGAAGTTTTACGCTCAATGAGGTCTCTTGACTTTAGTACAAGAACTCAGATTACAAGGTAAGACTTCTTAAAAATTGCCTTCTTTGGTTTTTTATTTTAGAACATAATTATTTTTGTGCCTAGAAATTTCCAATACTGCCCATTGCCATCTGATCTATAGCATTATAGGAGACACTGAAGGTATTACTGTAGCATTGCCATTTTCATTTATACATGTATATTTCAGTTAGTGAAAAAGAAGGCAAATTGTTCATTTTCAACTTTTTCCTTTTTTTTCTTTCTCTCCCTTTGTTTTATTCCCCTCATTTTTTTAGGAGGATAACACTCCAGGTAATAAAGTTTAAACATTTTCAGTTTACAAATCAGGGCTGAGTATATGTAAGGAAAAGTAGTGAAAAGACAATAAATACATGATTACAATTTCCTAACACCCCCCACCCCTCCACATATGCATACATACATACATAGATACATATTTTATATATATATATATAATATATATAATATATATATATATATATATATATATCTATATCCTTGTAATGGGTACTCCCTCCATCAGTACAGATCACCAGGCGTCCATGCTTTCTGATACTTTACAGTTCTTATCAATGTCCTTTCTTGGGTTTTCAGAGAGGATTTATCCAGCCTTCCTCTAGGTCTTTTCTAATATCATGTATGGTCAATAAAACACAAAGAACAGTAAATAGAATTTTTGTTGGAAATAGTTAATTTTTCAAGTAACCTAATTCTATAAATAGCAAAAAAATTGTTCATTCAAAATATTGTTTCTCAAATTTTATATGGTAAATTTCCCCAAGAAAGGGTATTGTTTATTCAGCATTTTGCAATCCCGAAAAGTCAAATGATGTCACATATCTGTATGAATAATGACATAGCTGATAAACTAAGAAGAATGAAGCTAGGAAAAGGTCTGTGATATTTCCATTTTGATGGGTAAAGATCTAAATTAATTTTTTTCCTCCTTTGTTTAATTGTGTCTGATGATGTAAGTTATAGGAAAACATGCCTCTCATTGTTTACACTCTATTGGAAGAATCCACTTTTGACATTTGCATTGTCCAAGGGAGAACATTCTGTTGATATCCATGGCTAAAGAATGATAGATATGGATTTAAAGCTTTTAAGAAGAGAATAAGATCGAATATTTAACACTGAATTATCTGTGTAATTTCTAGAGTTTCTAAAAAGATCATATCATTTCAAATGTCTTTACAAAAATCTCTTGATGTATAGCTTTTCATATTGCCCACAGATAGACTTAAAATGGACAGAATTGCTACTATGTTAGAGAACAAAATACGTGAAGAAACTGTGCATAGCTAGTAAGTGATAGAGGTAGGATTTGAATCTAGGTATGTCTGAATTCAAGACTAGCAAAACAAGAAGACAATGCTTTAAAATTTACAAAGCAGTTACTTTCATTTAATGCAAAATCCTTTCAACCTCTCAGCAACTTTGTGAGATAGGTACTTTTCTGGGGTCCTAATTTATGATGTCATTAGTGTAGAGAGCTCTCAGTGAGGGAATTCCTTGTACCAATACAGATAGTCAATGTATAGTCTTAATGAGTTGCCTGGGGGCACTGAGGGGTTGAGCGATTTGTCGAGGGGCACATGACCAGTATGTATTAGAGAAAGGACTTGAACCCAGATTGTCTTTACTACCCTCCATGCCATACTGTTTCTCATGAGATAGTTACTGCAAGCATTATTAGCCCCATTTTTCTGAGGCAAAACTTGAGGCTCAGACAGGTTAAGTGATAGGCTTACAGCCATACTACCAGCTATACCAGATGAGAGATTTGAACCCATGTCTTTCATTACAATGTTTTTTAAAAAAGAGTCGCTAAGATCTCTTTGGTTTTAGTGAGATGCTTGCTTTTAAAAAATGCATGTATGTCTAAAGTTTCTTGTTGCTTTGCATTGATTATGAAGTATATTTCTTATGTTGGCTATATCTAGAAATCATTTATAGGAAATAATTTGGCAAAGAGAATGTTAAAGGCAATTTTTTTTACATACAAAGAACAGGTGGGAGGATGGTAGTGTGTAAGGTCATAAAATATCTCAGATCCTCCCCACCACCACCAGTACTCTATTAGAGCTTGCAGATGTGCCACTCTTCTAAAAGATAGAGAGGATCATGACTAGTCTCTCCCACTCCACCCAGCAATCCACAGAGGAATTCCCAGAGTCCTACAATGATCCTGGAATGGAAAAGCTGGGATTGGTAAAGAATGAAATGCAGAGTGGTGTATAGGGGGCCCCTGGAGTCTTCAGGATAGTTCTTGTACTCTTTGACTGAGTTCTGCTGTACCTAAACCCAGTCTACGTGGAGTCTTCCATGTAGGAAATCAACTTTGTTGCATTCTAGGTGGGTCTAGTGCTATATTCCCGGTTTAACCAAATAGCAGCCATCATGTCTAGCTGTCTGAGCCTAGCTGCGAGAGAAATCTTGGGGCATCCTAGGTGGTCCAGCCTTGTACTCCCAGCTTGAGCAAAACAGAGTCTGAATCTCAATTGTGTTGTAACTCAGTCATAGCATAACAGAGACCAATCTCTAGTAGTTTCAGGCTGAGTTCAGCATGGCCCCAGTAGCCCCAACTGGTTGGTTGGTTGCTGTACTTCATTCTCAAAGAGGACGAAAATGACATCACTATGTTGGAGTCAAGGTACAGTGTGTCTTATATGGTTGATCAGACCAATATGAGCTTGGAATGCTCTACCACAGGTTGGGAACAAATAGTCCATTTGAACACTTGGAGTGGAGATGTCTCTAAATTTGCACATTTCATTTCTTTTGAGTTATTATAGTTCTGTTTCACTCATAGAGCATAGCACCTTCTTTGATTCAGGAATGCCATACTGAGTGGTTCTTTGCTAGCATCTCCCATGTCACACAATTGATTTCAAAGTTCTTTAGACAGACCTTAAGAGTGTCTTTGTATCGCTTCTTATGACTACCATGTGAGTGTCTGCCTTGTGTTTGTTCTCCATAAAATAGTCTTTTAGGCAAACAACATTTCATTTATACAACATGGTTAGCCCATCATAGTCAAGCTCTCTGCGGTACAGTTTAAATGCGTGGCAGTTTAGCTTGAAAAAGGACCTCAGTGTTCAGTACTTTATCTTTCCAGATGGTTTTCAAACTCTTTCTAAGACAATTCAAAGGGATATAATTCCATTTCCTGGCATGGCAGTGGTGTACTGTCCAGGTTTCACAGATGTAAAACAGTGAGGTTAGCAAAAGGGCTCTGTAGACCATCAGTTTGGTAGGCAGTCTAATGCCTCTTCTTTCCCACACTTTCCTTCAGAGCATCCTAAACACTGAGCTAGCTCTGATAATGTGTGCATCAACTTCATCTATGTGTATATTCCTGGGAAGTATACTGGCCAAGGTAAGCGAACTTATCCACAGTATACAAAACTTGTCCATTTGTTGTAACTAATGGTTCCACATATATATAGTGTGGTGCTGGCTGGAGGAGAATCTACATTTTCTTGGTGTAATTTTAGGCCAAAATTAGCACAAGCAGCAGAGAATCAATTCACACTTTGTTGCATCTCAACCTCAGAGGCTGCATTGATTGTACAATCATTTGTGAATAAAAAGTCATGCATCAACTCTCCCTCTACTTTATTCTTGGCTTCCTTTTTCAAGTTAAATAGTTTACCATCAGTGTGGTAGCTCACTTTGATACCATTTTTGTCTTCAGTGAAGGCATCTCATACTAAAAAGCATGGGAGCAAGCACACAGTCCTGCTTTAGTTGGTGACTGGGAAAGCATGAGAACATTATCCATTATCCAGAACTCATGCAAACATGCCATTGTGGAAGTGGCATATGATACTGATGAACTTCTCCAGGCAACCAAATTTTGCCATGATCTTCCACAAGCCTTCATGATTGAAAGTATCAAAGGCCTTGGTCAGATCAATAAATGTTGTGTATAGACCTCTCTTCTGCTCTTGGCATTTCTTCTGCAGTTGTTGGGTAGCAAATACCGTATTGACCATTTCTTAGCCCTTTCTGAAACCACACTGGCTCTCAGGTAGATGACCATCTTCCAAGTGAAGGATCAGATATTAAGGAAGAGTCTGGCAAGAATCTTGCCAGCAATGACTAAGAGAGAGATTCCTCCCTGTGGTTGTCACAGGACAGTCCATTTCCTTTACCTTTATATAGATGGACAATAAAGGCATCCTTGAACTCCTGGGGGACAAACTCCTTTTGCCATATAACCTGAAAAATTTCAGTCAGCTTTTGTATGAGCAATGAAACTTTTGCCATTTAAATCTCTGCTGAGATGGAAGCAGCACCAGGCACTTTGCCACATGAAAGGAGCCTAATGACATTCAAAATCTCTTCTTTAGTTGGAAATTCAGCTAGAGAGGTATTGACTTCAACCTGAGGTATATCGTGAATGGCTTCAGCATTGGTTGATTGATGATGGTCTGTTGATAACATTATGAAAGTATTTAGCCCATCTCTCCAGGATCATGTCCCTGTCACTAATCAATGTGGCTCCATCAGCACTGAGTAGTTGAGATGCACCAAAGGTCTTTGACCTATAAATAGCCTTCAGAGCATCATAAAAGTGCTTTCAGTTGTTACTATCAGTGTAAAACTGAATTTCATCTGCATTCTTACTGAACCAAGAATCTTGCATCTCTCTGAGCTTTGTTTGTACTTTATTTTTGATGGAGTTAAATGCTGCACTCGTAGAGATGAATGAACTATCCTGCTGGTAAACCCTGTGAAATTCTTGTTTGTCATTTAGCAGCTTCTGAATTTTCCCATCATTTTCATCAGACCAATCTTGATGCTTGCAAGTATTCTGACCCAGATGAGTAAATGCAGTTTTATACACCAAGTCTCTGAAAACTGCCCACTCCTTTTCTGCTCTACTGTTGCCAAATGTGTATTGGCTCAGCTTTCCATCTAAGTTAGCAACAAACTGTTCCTGCTTGGAGAAGCACTCTGATTTGTTTACATTGTCTTCTGGTAGTTTTCTTGCATTTGGGTCATTGCTT